TGACCCTTCCAGTAGACAAGAACTAGTAGAGGAACCAAACCGGGACGAAGGGGAGTGATGAGAGATGGGAGGGGGGGAAAGAAAGGTCTCGAAGTGAACTTGGGAAATACCCCCAACAGTTACACACCTCGAGGGGGAGATCGGACGTGCAGAGGGGACCAAGGGAAAATGAAACCGGCTGAATAGAAAAATCGGAGCTCGAACAAAATGACCAGGAAATAGCAAAGCAGCCAAAGTCGGCCGGGAAGAAGCGAGGGAAAGGGAAGCAAACAGGGAGCAGGAGAGGCAGGCAGAATTGCGGAAGTTGCGCTCACGAGGTCCGAAGAATAGAAAGCGTCAGCGCCGCGGCGTGACTGGCTGAGTCAGCGCACTAGTTTGAGACTTTGGTTCCTTATCCGTTACCGACTAACCCCCTTCGGGCAATGCATTCCAGCGCTCTCGTGAATCGCTGTGAGTGGGTAGTATGACGCAGTCACACCTCACTCTCCCAACTTGACTAGGTACAACTCCTCCTTCATCGCCTCTATATCTATATTACAACCATTGAAACTTGAGTTTGGATCTTTGTAATACTATTGGTTTTTAGGAAAGATTGTTTCCTACGATTGAGCCCAGTGTCGATTCTTCACCATGAAGTTGTCTGCTACTGCTACCGTCTTGGGGTTGCTTCCCTTAGCCCTGGCCGAATCGATTCTGGTCACGTTCCCTTCAGGTACCCCTGACTCGGTGGTTGATCAGGCAAAGCAATCAGTTAAGGACGCTGTATGTGACCGGGTGCTTTGACGGCATTGGCACATCTATATGTTACTAACTGTCCGTTTCTGGTAGGGTGGCAAGATCACCCATAATTACAGTAAGCATCATGCAGCGTTTCTAGTTTCCCTCTTCATCCTTGCGTTTTGGGTAGTGGCAGTGCTAACATATTGCTCCCTATAGCTTTGCTCAAGTAATTCTCTCTTGAATGTTCTGAGGTGCTTGCTTGGTCTGACACACACACACACACACACAGGGGCTTCGCAGCCGACACTAAGGCCGACTCGGTTCAACAGCTGTCAACTGAATTTGCGGCATACAATCCAACTGTTGAGAAAGATATGACTGTCACTATCCAGTGAAGGGGTATTGGATATTCCGAGAGAGGAAAGCTCCCTTTTCTCCATTCCAAATCACTACTCTATGATGGATATTTCTCCCGCTGGTTTCGGGGCTCGACCGTTGATGGTCGATAATGGTTGGGAAACAATTAGTCTAGATTGTAATTCAGGATCTTTATGTATCATTGTCTTCTTCTGTTTCTGAAAAGAAAGATTTGTGTCTTGTTTCTGTCTCATGAATGATGTTATGCCATACCTTTTAAAGCCGGCGACTGTTTCCCATTACCCAACAAACAAACACAAGCACCAAGATATGAATACATGACAGGGATAATTCGTCACTTTTCCAAATCTTTTATACCACTTTCATGCTCAGTGGACGGTGTTGTTTCACATGGGGAGAAGGTAGAAAATAAGGAAGCAGCGCCGTGGGTGATCCTAAATCATTCATTCCTCCCCCAAAGCGGGACTTCGGTATTTATAGCTCGTCGATGCGCGTAGCGTGGATCCCGCCTCCAACGCCCCGGAGGCGCTCAAAAAAGGATCTCATCGAGGCACAGTCCTCTTCCTCCGCCGTCCAGGTTCAAATTCAACCGTGCTGAGGGGTCGCAATTAGCCCCTCCTGGCCGCGATCCGAATACAATTGCCGGCAAGTCCACCCAGCCGTTCCTGGAATTTGCAACAACCGCCGTGTTCCCCGCCCAGTTGATTGCCCCCGATTGCAGTCAACATCGCCCGACCATGGCTGCGGAGCATACCGTCACCCAGGCCCTGCTGGAATGGGTGAACAGTTTCGCCTTGGGTAAGACTATCCGGACGACAGAGGAGTTATCGGATGGCACCATCATTTGGGAGATCTTGCAGGACATCGATCCGCAGTATTTCCTCGACGAGATCCCCCAGCGCGCCCCGTCCGACCACTGGCTATCCAAATGGCAGAACCTGAAACATATCCACAAGTTGCTCGTCAACTACATCCGCCAACAACCCGATGGCATGCCCACGGGTCTTGACCCCAACCCCAACCTCGAATTGGTCGCCGAGAAGAACTCCGTCAAGGAGGCCAACAAACTCCTGAAGCTCCTTCTGATCGCCGCCATCCGCTCTCCCAACGCGCAGACCTACGTCGAGACCCTTCAGAGCCTAAGTACCCCGACGCAAGAGACTCTGAAAAATATCTTCGAGGAAGCTCAGAATGGTCAGCATGAGGCTATCGATGGCGAGGATGATGTCAAGGAGGAGCGGGATCTGCCCGTCGACCCGGAACTGCAGTTTGAAGAGCGGGTAGGCAAAGTGTTGGCGGAGAATAACCGGATGGCGCGTGAGAAAAAGGACATGCAGAAACAGATCGATGATATGCACGATCGCCTGGCGCGCCTCCAGGAGAACAACGATACCTTACAAAGCCGGCTTGCATCGACCGAAGACCGACTAGTCAACTTGAGGTCTGGAAAGGGTGATCTTGGACTCAGCGCAAAGGCTCTTGAGTCTAAATCCCGCCAACAGGAAGACATCATCGCAACCCAGGAAGCAAGGCTGGCTACAGCGCAGGATGAGATCGACAGTCTACGCATGACAGTGGAGTCGTTACGCGTCAAGAACCAACGATTCCAGAAGCTTCAGGATGACTATGATGAGCTAAAGACTGAGCGAGATCAACTCGCTCGTAAGGCGAATGCGGCCGAAAAGTACCGCCAGAAGCTGCAGGCTAGCCAGGACTTCGAGAAGGAGAACCAATCACTCAGGAACCAGATCAAAGACTTCCAGCAACAGCTCAAGGAGGCGGATTCGCAGCAGAAATGGAACTCCGAGCGTGAGGTGGAGCTTGAAGAATACCGCAGAGTTTTGCCTCGCATTGAGCAGGAGTGCAGTGAAATCCAAAATCTGAAGAAGCAGCTCGAGTTCAACAACCATGCCCTCACAGAGCGACTCAGTAACGCCGATGAGCAGCGCGAACGTGATGATGCTTTGATAAGCGAGCTCCGTGAGCGAATCCGTGAACTGGAAGGCTCTCCTGGAAGCCCATCCCTGACGCCGGGTACTGAAACTCCCAAGCTCGAGGGCACTCTGCAGAAAGACTTTGAGGCGATCGGTGTGAAGGAATCACAGCTGTTAGAAGACCCTGTGCTGCAGCGACGAAGATCTAGGCTAACTCGCTACAGGAAATCTGAAAATGAAGAGTTGAAGAAGGAAGTGGAATCTCTGAAGGGGCCATCCGTATGTTTACATATTATGGCTACTATCATCTTATTTGAAGCCGCTAACAAGGTACTAAGGTGGGCTTGGACTTTTCCGAAGCCTTTAATGAAACGCTGCAACAGGCCCGCGCAAATTCTTCGCAGAGGTATTTTCTACTAGAAGCAGCCTAGCTAGTATAATCGCTAACGATGCATCAGTGATGATTACTGGAAGTTGTACGACCAGTATACATCTGCTCTTAAGAGATTGGCCGAGGCCCAAGAAGCTCTCGATGTATCCAAGAGATCGCTGAACGATGCGCTGGCGGAAAGTGAGTAGCTACTGTTCGGCGAAATCCGCGTGTATGAAGTTTGCTTACACGCATACAGTTGAACTCTCCAACAAAGAGAACATGGATCTGATTGCCGAGATCAAAGCGAGCAGCGCATCGGATTTGACTAAGGCTCGTGAAGGAGAAGATGATGCTATGCGCAGACTGTACAATTTGCAGGCCGAGCTTGATTCAACCCAGGCTCTGGTCCAGGTCACATGTGCCGAACGTGACGATCTGCGAAACTTGCTCGAGAAGAAGCAAGCGGAGTTCCGTGCGGAAGATCATGAAGCCGCAGAGGAAATGAAGAAGCTGCTGGCCGAACTCACTGCACAGGAAAATGGCGATGATCCCGAAGCTGCTCAAAAGTCGGCTGTAGAGCTCATTAGACAAGTCGCCGCGCAGATTGAAAAGAATCTGGAGAGGCTGGCGAAACGTGCTGAGGTCAGTTACAAGAAACCCCATCGGCTCTCAACTTGTGTTATCCCGAACCAAACAAGGGCTATTCGCCTCGGTAGCCTCAGTGGCGACAGGAAACGTCTCGATCTTCTTGCGGATCGGCCATTTGGCGATTCGACCCAGATATTAGCAGCGAAGGCACCCGGTCTATCGCGTCTGGGTCGATTAATCGCCAAGCGGTTCAGGCGCTGAGGCTCGGCTGCCACCTTGATCCATTGATACATCCTCTCCCATTTGCACTTTACGGCCTACAAAAGACTAATACGAATCATCTTGCAGTATATCCATCAACAGAACGAACACATCAAGTTCCTCCAAGAGCGGATAAAGCAACTTGAAGAGGATACGGATGATGGAATCAGCAAAGAGCGCGAGGTAAGTTGTCATTTGAGACGGACTGGCTATTGCCAAGCACTGATATTTAAATCCTCCAAACAGCTCGAACTCCAGAAGATAATCGATGCTCAAGCGCGGGAGCTGACTTTGATGAGCTCCTCCTGGTACGAACTCCAGAATCGATTACAGAACAACAACATTGGCCTGGCCCGGTATCGGAATGGATCCCTGGCCGATGCTCAGAAGGGCTGGCTAGCCAGGCAAAGAAGCGTGGTCGCTGGTCGATAAAGCTCCGGTGTGTATGTTGGCGATATGGTTTACGTCCTATCTCTTCTTCGTACATGTCTTTCTAATTCTACCCTTTCCTCCTTTTTCTCCCCTGCGCATTTTCCATCGTTTCCAAGACTGTGTTTGTTGTTGTTATACCTTTTTCTTTCTACATACATATGTTTCCGTTGCTCGCCGCGCTATAGCAGCTCGTTGCGGCTCAACTACTACGACTACTACTACTACCCCTGGGTTTTCCGTTGGAGCTTGATCGGCATTATAAACACATCATACGCACCTTTATGGCATTGTTGCATGTATTAGACAAGTGTATATTTTGAAAGTCTTTCTTTTTTCTGATTTCTAGAGACAGTGCTGCTTTTGACGTGACGTAGCCCATAGATGCAGCTCATAAAATAATATACATGCAGATAATACATAATTTTCAGGAAAAGAAACCATATCCTTGCCGATGACCCATGATCCATCTAATTCAGCAGCATTACACCCACTGTCTAGGATGTTTCAGAACATCCATGATCTCCTTCTCGCGCTCCTTGCCCTCGCCCAGAAGTGCCTCATCACCATCTACGGAATCCTCCGTTCGGGTTCCCGACACGGGGTCCATGTAAGCCCAGCTTGCCGTGCGGGGCAAACTCATCAGAATACTCTCGATGCGGGCATTCGGGGTGCGGAGACCGAAGCTAGTACCGCGATCATAGACGAGATTGAACTCGACGTAGCGACCGCGTCGAAGCTGTTGCCACTCCTTTTGCTCAGGTGTAAAAGGCATGTCCTTCCGGCGTTCAATAATGGGGACGTAAGAGGGGAGGAAAGAAGCGAGACCGTCCGAGACGAAGGAGAAAAGGGTCTCCTGGGGGTTCTGTGAGGAGGTTGACGAGGACTGGAGGAAGCTGGCGTCCAGGTCATCGAAGAAGATACCTCCTACACCGCGGCATTCGCGGCGGTGGGGGATATAGAAGTATTTGTCGCACCAGGCTTTGAACTTCGGGTAGTATGTGGCGTCGTGGCGATCACAGGCGTCTTTGATGGTCTGGTGGAAGTGTTTGGCGTCTTCGGGGAATAGGTAGGTGGGGGTCAAATCTGTGCCACCGCCGAACCACCAGTTCTTGTCGCCGTTGAGGGGGTCCTTGGGGTCGGATGTCTCGAAGTACCGGTAGTTCAGGTGGACGGTGGGGGCCATGGGGTTGTGAGGGTGGAGTACGAGGGACAGACCGGCAGCGAAGAAGCTCAAGGAGTCCACGTCGGCACCAACAAAGGACTTGTGGTCTGCTCGCATCTTCTCAATGGCCGGCCGGGGAAGTTCGCCGTAGACGATGGATACGTTGACTCCGGCTTTCTCGAAGACATTTCCGTCTTGAAGGACACAGGATATTCCACCTCCGCCGTTGGGGCGCGTCCAGGTATCAGTCTTGAATTGCTTTCCATCTATCCGGCTCAGCTCTTCAATGATTTTCTGTTGGTGATCCTTGATCAGCTTCTCCATGCGCAGGCGCATGGGAGATTGTTCGCTGATCGTGGCTTGCTTCTTGAGCGTTTCATCGAGTTCCACGAGGGAAGGCGAGTCGAGTTCGGTAACTTCTTCCGTCATCTGTATTGAATCTAGTCAGATTATGACATTTGCGCAAAGTGCATGGTGGGTAAAGTCTACCATGGAATACACCAAGGCACCGATGAAGGGCACACCAATGGCCAGCCGTAGGTATGGTCTCCAGACAGTGAATGGCTTGGGTTCGGAAGGGGGTTTCTGTTCCGAGGAGTATCTGCGAAAGGGCGCTGAGAGGTTGCGAGGTGTGCGACAGGATCGAGATGAGAATTGGCAGAGCGACCTCCGAAGAGGCATATATGGCCGGGGAACAGCCATGGTTGAAGAATAGATGGAATTGGCTGATCTGTCAAAGATCAGGTGGTGCCAGGTATAGTGCCTGTCAAGAATCAACCGGTTGTTGTTCCCTCCGAGCTCCACCTATGGTCTAGAGCCAGTAGTGGGTAGGGATTTGGTAATGGAGGAATTGTTCAGATCATCGGCTCCGAGGCACAGTATGGGACCACCTGCGGCCTCGATATTCCCGAATGTCGTGAGGATATGAATTCTGTTTGTGCAGTTTGCAATGATTGTTGGGTTTGTCTGGACATGGAATCCGGCCCGGCTGAGATAAGCACTTTGCATGGTTTGCAGGGCTGCCAATGCCAATGCCGAAGCCAACCCCTGGGTCTGAACACCCCCCAAGGCAGCAGCACAACATCAAGCGGGGTTGCTCCATGAGCGAAGAATGTGTCAGTCACTAGCGGAGTAGATTTAACTACTAGGCAGATAGTGAGCGATCTTGAGTCACTCAATAGCAGCAGTAACTAGATAGAGCGCAGGAGATGTGGGTGTTGCACCCGAGCGGTAGACAGTAACCATTCTAGCATGGGAAACCCCATAATCTAGGCGCTGATCCTAAGTGGAGGCTGGAGGCATCGCCCGCCGAGCTACCACTTCACTACCGATGCAGTAACGCGAAGGCGGCCCAGCTCGATGACAACCAAACGGTATCATCCGCATTGGTCATTTGGATGAGTGCACGACATCCACGTGCCAGGATGACGACAGGAACTGCCCTGACGGACTGGCTTAGATATCCGTAAGATGATCGAATGTGCTATGAATCGAGCCAGCACATGACCCGGCCTGACTCACGTGTGGGGCCGCTCACCGCCTCCACCCCGTGATCCACGCTTGCCTGGCGGCCTTATCAGCCGTGGAAGCCGTTCCCTCACCAAATGACGCGGGGCTGTCGCCTTCAACTCTCTCTACAACTGCCAGCCTGCTCACCTTTTGTCATCATCCATCTATCTCTCCATCCCATCCCATCCATCTATCCATCGACCATCTCACCCTTGCTCTGTTATCACTTAACTTTCATCCAGTTTCTGTCACCCTTTCGCTCCTCTTCGTCTACTTCGTCACTATCTCCCCCTTAAGGGACCCGTCGGATCAGACCATACTAGCCGCCCTCATCAACTTATCAATATGCGTTCCAAGTTTAAGGACGAGCACCCCTTCGAGAAGCGCAAGGCAGAGGCCGAGCGTATCCGTCAGAAATATGCCGATCGCATTCCAGTACGTCTATCCTCTATCTTACTTTCTACTGTGATTTTGGTTTCACGGTCTTTTGGGGGGGAGAAACCGGGTCCCTAGCTCACCGCTTGTTCGAGTCGCTAACCCAGCTTCTATCCCATAGGTAATCTGCGAAAAGGTCGAGAAATCGGACATCGCTACCATCGACAAGAAGAAGTACCTTGTCCCTGCCGACCTTACCGTTGGCCAGTTCGTCTACGTGATCCGTAAGCGGATCAAGCTGTCTCCTGAGAAGGCGATCTTTATCTTTGTCGACGAGGTTTTACCACCTACGGCTGCTCTGATGAGCAGTATCTATGAAGAGCACAAGGATGAAGATGGCTTCTTGTATATCACGTATGCCGACCCCTCCGATACCCTAGTACCTCTGTTCTGTGTGCATAGTGCTAACCCGGATCTTTCTTAATTAGGTACTCCGGCGAGAATACGTTCGGTGACTGCTAGGCGCTGGTCGATCTCATATTTTCCCTTTTGGTCTGATTTCCCTGTCTCTTGAAGTGAATTCGCTGCCGTCATCGTTCAAGTCACTTCCTTCAGTTGCCTTTTCCTTCTTTTGAGGAAGTTGCAGATTGACTTCCTGGATGTAGGGGTTGGTTGCTGTAGAACAGGGGTGGATGGCGAGCTCGACCACGCTGTGATGTTTCTATGCTGTGCTGTACGCGGGCGTTATCTTGGGGGCTCTTCATTAATCTTCGTGAACTCTCTTGGCGAAATGAGTATTCTTCTTCAGATGGTAGTTTAAATGAGAAACAATCGTTGCTATTGATGGAAGCTTGTCTTGTGTAAGCGTGAATTTAGGTGTAACAAAATGTGCCATGAGTGAACAAGCTACTACTACATACTTTCCTGGACATGGAATAACTAGGTAGAACTAGTTAGCTAATGTATGGATTAGTAGTTTAGATAACTAACTAGATTATCTAAAACCAGTTAGTTTATCACCGGCTGCTGAGATAATCAGGGCCGCTCCGATCCAGGGCCGGTAGTGCCAGGCCCAAAGGGGGCTAGTGGCGTTGAAGCACCGGCCGCGACGCTTGGAGCGGTTCCGAGTCGGCGCAGAAACAGTCAGTCAGTCCATCTTTCTCGGTCTCTTCCTCTTCCTCTTGCTATTTTTCCTCCCCTCCCTCTCTCGTGCATCCGCCTTACCCATCATCCTTTTCTTTGCTGCATTGCCTAGCCCCGGCTGTGGTCTCTTGTCCTGTCTTTGTTGGCATTCCTGTCCTATATATAAATCTTTCCGTCCTTCCTCTTTCCTTCTGAATCGCCTTTTCATCTCCCCGACGGAAAAGAAGCCTCAGGCCCGGAAAATTTTATACTCTCCAATCTCTGCCTCGACTACGCCCAACTCAGCCCAATTCCCATAATCAAGATGTCTCCCGCTATGGCCCAAGCCGGTGCTGGCTCTGCCGCTAAGGATGTTAAGAGAGAATCCGCGACTGCTCGTCTTCTGGGTTCCGGTATGTGTCACACCCATTTTGTGCCCAGGGCGTGGGGGTTGCGCTCAAGGACTAACCCTCCGTCTCAGGAACGGCCGGAATTGCGGAGTTGATGGTCTTCCACCCTGTACGATTACACACTGCCCTCTCGAATATTTGCGCATCGATTGCGCTCTTCTCGCCTGAGAAATCAAAAACTGACTCATCGACCAGGTTGATACCATCTCCAAGCGATTGATGAGCAACCAGACTCGGGTACGACACTTCCTATCCCTTATCCATACAAGGCTGTAGGAATGAATTGGGCTAACTGTGCGCTGGCTTAGATCACCTCCACCGCTGGTCTGAACCAGGTCGTCTTCAAGGAATACGCCAACGCCTCTTTCGGCGGCAAGTTCACCTCCCTCTTCCCCGGTCTGGGTTACGCCGCCGGTTACAAGGTTCTCCAGCGTATCTACAAGTACGGTGGTCAGCCTTTTGCTCGCGACTACCTCGCCCAGCACTGGGGTTCCGACTTCGACAATGCTTTCGGCAAGGGTACCGGCAAGGCCATCATGCACGCCACTGCTGGAAGGTTCGTTTTGTGTTCCGACCATTGATGGTAATGCTCTGGCTAATCATATGGGAACAGTTTGATCGGTATCGGAGAGATCGTCCTTCTGCCCCTGGACGTCCTCAAGATCAAGCGTCAGACTAACCCCGAGGCTTTCCGTGGCCGTGGTCTGTTCAAGATCATCTCCGATGAGGGTATGGGTCTCTACCGTGGTGCTGGCTGGACTGCCGCCCGTAACGCTCCCGGATCTTTCGCTGTATGTTCTCATGGTCCCGATTGTTTCCTTCTTTTTCATGTAGGAGTGTTCGATACTAATGCTTGGAAATAGCTCTTCGGTGGTTCCGCTTTCGCCAAGGAGTACATCTACTCCCTGAAGGACTACAACACTGCTTCCTGGAGCCAGAACTTCGTTGCCTCCATCTGCGGTGCCAGTGCCTCCCTGGTTGTGTCGGCTCCTCTGGATGTCATCAAGACCCGTATCCAGAACCGCAACTTCGAGAACCCCGAGTCCGGCTTCCGCATCCTGTCCAACATGGTCAAGAACGAGGGTGTCTCCAGTTTCTTCAAGGGTCTGACGCCCAAGCTCCTGATGACCGGACCCAAGCTCGTTTTCAGCTTCTGGCTGGCTCAGACGTTGATCCCCGCCTTCGGCCAGGTTGTTTAAAGATGTTGATGATTAGCTGATCCGAAAAGCGAGTGTCTTTCTCATTTTTTACCCATATCCGGGGTTATTTTAACATTATTACTTTTTATGTTCGATTCGGGGCTTTGTTTTGGTGCTGTTATAGAGCATTCATTCTGTTAAGCCTTTGTGTATTTATGATAGACTCTTTTTTCCCTTCGGCACTGTTCCGGATGATGGGTGCAAGATGGTATGCTCTTGGATACGAAATACAACTCCTCTTAATCATGAACTACTCTTTCTAACGATATTAATTTGCTGTATTTGTTCAAGTCTTGTAGCGCATTCTCAACCGGTAAGCACATTTCTGGCTGCAGCCGGTATTGAAAACAATGCCATTGTAGGGACTAAACGTTTAGAGTGGCTACATATCGACCAGCCACCAACTTTACAGTAACATAAAACAGCACCAGCACACTCCCATCTACAACTCAACAGACAATATCACCAAACCGAGTCAAGATACCCCTCAACCAGCCTAACTATCACGTGACCCATGACATCCGGCGCGGAGTTACACCAGCTACAGCTTCCAAGTAGTACTCATCTCAAGTCTACAACTCATCTTGATCCAGCGCACATTTTCCACCAGCCAAAACCTGCACAGCCAAGCCGCCCAAAATGCCAGTCTACCTAATCTCCAAGTATGTCGTTCTACCTATCGCACATATATCCTATTTCCCTCATTGCCGCATGCATGCACCTCTACCCATCCACCTTCCTACCTACCTACCTAATGTGAATCCGACATTGCATGGCAATAATCCCTCTCTTTCTCTTTCTCTCTATCTGTTCCTTGGATTATTCGACCGATCACATACATACACCCATCG